CTGACCCTTTTGCTGCAATCCTTTAAATACAAAACCAAGATAAGACATCCTCCAAATGGAGGCCTGTACAAACAATTGGAATTTGCATTAAGCCAGGTCCCAGACCTGGGTGGTCTACACCTCAATGGGAACAAAAGGTAATTTGCATGGAATTGTTCTCTACGGTGATCAAAGTTTCTCTTAACTCTTAGGATCTGTATTATCTTTTAGTAAGATTAAGACCATTGTACCACTTGCCCTGAAAACTATTCAAATGAAACCAAACATGACTGTAAATCTTATTTGCATTCATTTAGAACATTATATTCTTGACCATTCTGAGTGAGCTGGGTGAAGAGAAGGATGGGTGAGGGGAAGGAAGGGAATGAGGAGGAACCAATGCATATGTGAGACATTTTCCCGCAGTTTCTCTCAGTGAGATGTGGAGACAGATGTCTGTATGTTAATGCACTGTGTGTGTATTGTCTGTCTCAGAAGATCAAAGTATTTGAGTTTCTTTTATCCTTACACCAGCTTCACGCATTACTAACCAGTTTGACTTTATTTCTGGAGTATCTAAAACAGAAGTTCTTTATTGAGAATTAAGGTTTAGATTTTTTTTTTCAACTTACCGTTTTGGTGATTAGCGTTTGCTTTAGTTGAATCTTGACCCTTGACTTGTTATGGAGAAGATTCTCTTTTGCTGATACAATTGTGTTTATAAAGCATATATATGATGGCAAGAAACCTATGATAAAGCCTTTTCATGCTTGTGAGCTTTCTCTTTGCATTTTATCTAAATCTGCAGAGCTTTTATGATTTCTGAATTATTGAAGTTCTATGATATGAGAATGTGAGATACCTAAATGAACGATTTTTATAAATACGGCTCATAAAGAGGTTTAAACTCTGGCACTCATAGACATGAAGAATCAGCATGTGAATCTCAGTGATGGTGACTAAATATTCTGATCATTTTGATTTGTTTTTTGAACGTGATAAAACAAGGCAGTAAAAAGTCACAACAAAAATAAAAGCAAATAGTAAGAATAAAAGAAAATCCTAAAACATAATTTATTCATGTCACAATGCATGCTGGGAGCCATGGATGAGTTATGATTGGTGCACCCAGAATGCACTGCAGCATGAATCTGTCTGATGATCACCATGGTTGAAATTCATATGCTGAATCTTGATGTCTGCGTGTCTAAACAGCACAGATGTTCTACACTGGTGTGCAAAGAGTTTTTAAAGCTCTTTTGTGTTTTTAAAACGCAGTTGTGATCAATAACAAACTGTATTATACATCACCACTGATGACATCTGTCAATCAGGCCATGCACGACAACTACAACATTATCGATTAACAGTCAATGTAACCTGAGCACATTTTCTCTTGGTTTTTCTTACTATAACCAATGTGTTTCATAAACACAGTTACAGCAGCCAGAGAAAAACTAATGTTAGAAAGTCAAGGGTCAAGAGCCCAACTAAAGCAAATGCTTATCTCCACAGCGGTGACTTCAAATTGTATTACTTTCAATAAACATTCAAATCTAATCTGTTAATTCTTAATAAGACATTTTTTGATGCATGACAAAAAAAAGTCAAACTGGTTAGTAATGCATGAAGCTGGTGATGCTGTTTGTGGAGATGATTAATTATCTTCTGCTGAGATCTTGATAGATGAAATCAACTGAAATAAAAGACATTAAATCCAAGGCTGTGGCTGAAGTCAGTTGTAGTTCTTGTGTTTCTCTTTTCTTCAGTGATTCTGCTTGTTAACAGCAGCTGTTCATCACTAATGATCAATCAGCACTTAATTAATCACATAATTATCTCATTAACTTTAACACTGCTTCAGTGTTACTTTAACACTCATTTAGAGTGGGACCATATATGCTCCGAGCAGTGTTAATTTAACACTCGGAAATTTACTGTGTACCTAAAACGGCTCGTTCTAACACGGCCCCACATACCTACGTCACTATCTGAAAAGATTTGCATAACACCGCCCAAATGTTCGCGCAAAGAAAGAAGGCGTAACTTTTATTCTTACAGCAGTATTGTTGCTGCCACCATGTCATGAAGGCGCTGTGTGTTTCGTTGTGAAAGCGAAACTACTTTGATTGGCCTTCCAAAAGAGGACGATATCTGCTTCGTCATGCCTGGAGCTGAACTGTGCTGGTTGCTGAGGAAATACAACAACTTAGTGCTGTGGATCGCCGGATCGGCTTTCACCGTGGACGAAGTGGAGTCCAGCCCGGGGTCGGCACATGTGGTTGCCGCAAGCCTCCTTCGTCGAATCCGCTGGCCGCGCCATTATCAAGCTCGCCGCCTCTGCTCACTCTAGCCCTCCGGCCGTTCCTCATGCTAGCCCTCCGGCTGTTCCTCACTCTAGCCCCCGGGAATTATTGAAGTTCTATGATATGAGAATGTGAGATACCTAAATGAACGATTTTTATAAATACGGCTCATAAAGAGGTTTAAACTCTGGCACTCATAGACATGAAGAATCAGCATGTGAATCTCAGTGATGGTGACTAAATATTCTGATCATTTTGATTTGTTTTTTGAACGTGATAAAACAAGGCAGTAAAAAGTCACAACAAAAATAAAAGCAAATAGTAAGAATAAAAGAAAATCCTAAAACATAATTTATTCATGTCACAATGCATGCTGGGAGCCATGGATGAGTTATGATTGGAGCACCCAGAATGCACTGCAGCATGAATCTGTCTGATGATCACCATGGTTGAAATTCATATGCTGAATCTTGATGTCTGCGTGTCTAAACAGCAC